CCCCAAAACCCCAAAACCCCAAAACCCCGAAAGACCTAAAGTTCAGTCAATATAATGATTTAAAGTTTGATAAAAATTGAGTGATATATTGCTATTTCGAGTAAGCAGAGTGAGATAATATAATTATTAGATCAATAATGGCTCAGCCGAATTAATATAACTGGACTCTTTAATCGAATAAACTTTAACAAGATTCTGACAACATCTCCTCAGATGACTCAGAGGATGCTATAATATCAGACGACCAAAGCGAGCAATGTAAATAATCCTACTAACACCAATTTTAGAAAGAAATCATGTTGTATTAAATGGGAGGAAGGCTTTTAAGGGCAACTGGAGACATCCTAATCCACCGAAAGAAAATCCTCTCAATCAAAATGAAAGTAAAGTGATCCAGCCAAAAAGAAAGCATGTGCAAATAGATGACTCCACACTAGACATGAATCCCAACTAAACTGTAGATCTGACTGAAGCCAATCTCAAAATCCTGAACTAGCAGGCAGTTTTGCTGAGCTACATTAATAGTCCTTCGAGTAACCAAGTGAGTAAGGTGGTAGGTGCCTCCCCTTCATATGAAGAACTTCAGAGAATCAATGAATAAATCAAAGCTCTGCTGCCAAAAAGCACTAAGACGCTTGATTCCAGAAACAAGAGATTCTTATTCAGGAATGACACAAATGACTTGAGCACTTCAAATTTGGATATAAACATTTCTAATAAGAAAATAGACCTGGATTCGTTTTTCAAACGACTTTAACAAGACATAGATAGAAGAAAATTATCCAACGATAGGAGGGCCTAATAGGTTGAAAAACAAAAAGAAGATAAACTCAAGAATGAATGCACATTTACTCCAGAGAGATCCAGATCAAAACTCTCTAAGATTTATGAAGATAGCTTGCAATAGAAAAAGTAAAATAAATCCAAAAGTAGCAAGAATCCATGATTTTAGAATTAACCAAGGCAAGTGAATTACAACAATAATAATTTAAGATGAATTAAAAATCTAAAAAGATTCTAGAGGAAAAAAAGAAAAATGAACTTAACGCTACAACTATTGTCATGACAACCAAGCAGCTAAGGTAGGCTAATCTAGAAGCAAAAAAGAATCCAAAAATCAACAAAAATACTGACGCAATCCTTTGGCATAAGTTTGAATATGAATGGAATCATGTTGTAAAAGATTATGAGTTAACGGATATATTGCAGTTCAATTTCGATTAGTTTATATAAGTAATGCTAGGCTTCAGATTTATCAAACACTATAATGACGACTAAAAGAAGCTGGAGTTTCAGCAAACCCAGATTCTTACTGATCTATTCAACGAGGTGGCTGGTGTGGATGTTAAAAATATGAATAACACTAGTAAAAGGAATCTAAGAAATACCTCACTAATAGACCCAGTAAAGTTAAAGCTAAACGTTATGAAGCTTATGAATGTGAAATAGCCAATTAATAAAGATGATGATTAGTCAACAGCTGCTGATATTGAGGAGTAGAAGAGGCCATTAGAGATTAATATGAGTACACTACTCTCACAGCCTTAGCTTGAGAGGCAAAACACATCATAGTTGACAGCAAATGTAAGAGATCAGTTCAGAGTCAGATTTAAGCAGTTGATTTAGAACAGAGACGAAAACCTTTAGTATGAAAGATAAATGTAACTCAAAATAAAACACAAAGGTAAGCACTAACTTCAATTATTTTATTTTCTCTATTTATAATACTTAAGTCTAATAAATGAATATAGAAGAAAAACCAACGTTTAAGCCTAAGATAAGTGAAAAGAGCAATCAAATATTCCAAAAACTAGTCAATCAAAGTGAATTAATTGAAAAGTAATCAAAGGAAAACAGTATCATGATTGCAAGTACTAGTCTAATTAAAACTCATACCACTAAGAGCATAACTCCATACAAGTCAGAAGAGCATTTCACTTTCAGTAGCAAATGATCAGCAAATATCTAATGCTATTGAGACTATCAATCTTAATAATCCACTATTACATCTAGAATTTTATATTGAAATCTATCTTATAGTTTATTTATTTTCATTTCTTTAATTTTCATGCAATCACTTTCAAACACTAACACCGGGGTTTTGGGGTTTTGGGGTTTTGGGGTTTTGGGGTTTTGGGG